GCCCCTGGGCTCTGTGCGTCCCAGTGAATGAGTTGGGGGGCATACATGCTAGTGGCAACATTCACATGGGGCAATCCTAGTCATCTGCCCATCAAGCATCCGTCTGTAGCAACTCTCATCAAGGACACAACATGGGTGTTCCCAGGAAGGGAGGCGGAGAGCTCCAAGGAGAAGTGTTTGTTGCCTGCTGGCCGCAGTCCAGGCATGGCCACACTCTCTGTTACCTGCAGCCACCTGCAGAGGCCTGTGAGGCTGGGGGTTGGGGCCCATTTACTGGGGAGGTGCAGGTGCCACAGCTAGCGAAGTCGATGCAGGCTTCAGCTCTGGATGCAGAGAGGACACCGGCTGTGTGCAGGCCTCTGGCCAAGGAGGTCAAGGCAGAGCCTTGGGGGGTGTCCACACCACAATCAGTCAAATATAAACTCATCCTCGAGCACTAAGCTTAACCACACGGTTGTGACACGGAGCCGCCAAACTCCAGGCCGTGGTGCTGTCACTGCGGTGGTGCCAGAAGTGAGCTCCCAGCAGAGGAGCCATGGCCTTTGCAGTTTCCCAGGGCACTGCATGCTGGGAGCTATGTGTGTGGCTGGCAAGGGGGGAGGGCGGGTCCTGGGAATTGTAGTTCTTGGTGCTCGTAGGGCATTCTGGGAGATGTGGTCTCCAAGGCACACAGAACTGGCTCCTTGACACATACTTTGGTTGAGTTTGCCCTCACATCACATCACAGCCCCCAACACAGGAAGGGGCGCCCTAGCAGACTGCCCCCAGTCGTCTGGATGGAGCCAAGTGGGGCGAGGAGTGTTGTGAGTTTAGCTTGGGACGGGGTCTGAGCCTCAGAAGCTGTTGCTGTAGAGCCAGCTTCCGTCAGGGCCAGGCATGAGGACGCCAGCAGCATGTGGGACTCCTGGCCCCGGCCAGCCTCTCACCATGCCACTCCATCTCGTGACCCAGGAACCTGCCAGATGTCTCTGCTGTGGACTTTGAGAAGGTTGATCTGACTCGGTTCAAGTGGATCCACATTGAGGCAAGCCCTGCCCTCCCCGTGTCCCGAAGGGCTCAGCCTGCCACCCCTCCTCGTGTTTTGCCTCCTTCTTGGTTTCTTTGAACCATGACGTGCCTTAGAGATGAATGAATCTGACCCCCATCCCCTTTCCATCCTACCTTATGTTTTTAGGCAAAAAACTAAGGCCCACAAAGATGGGGTGACTTACTCAAGACCACACAGTAGGATGTAGGCACCAGAAGCAGGATGCTGGCCCCAGGCAAAGCCCGTGCTCTGTGCTACAGGCCGCCCCACACGGGCAGGAGCCTGACTGGAGGAGGCCTGACCCATACCTACCTCCCACGTACAGGAAACTAGAATCTTCGTTGCAGGAGCGGTTTTGGATGGAGTCTCGGGGGGCGGGGGGGAGGAAACCCCAAGAAGCTCCGAGTTCTCATCCTTGCCCTGTCACTAACTTCCTGTCGGCCCTTAGGACGGTCTCTGTTATTCTCCAGTCTCTTCATCTATGAAACGGAAGGACTGGTTGGTCAGGCCTCTAAGGTCCGCGATAGCTCTGAGATCTTTAGATTGAGCATGGGGTTCCCCAGCCACCCCTAGCGGGCCGGAGGGGCTGGGCAGTGCCCGGCGGTCCTGAGCGGCCCGCTCTGCTGCAGGGCCGGAACGCGTCGGAGCAGGTGAAGATGCTGCAGCGGATAGAGCAGCACAACGCCAGGCAGCCTCGGGGGCAGGAGGTCCGGGTGTCCGTGGAGGTGGAGAAGCCCCGGGAGGAGCTGTTCCAGCTGTTCGGCTACGGAGACGTGGTGAGTCCCAGGCCGCTTCTGGCCGCATCCGGCCACCCTGGTTCTTAAAAGGAGCCGGAGAATTGCCTTGTCCTGCCTGCCGCGCCTGGAACAGCTAGCTCCTCCTGGCCCGCTGGTGTTGGCAGGAGGGGGCAGAGCAGAGGCCAGTCCCCAGCTGGGGGCTCTGGTGCCGGCCTCGGCAGTAGCCCAGGAAAGCTTCTCTACCCCAGGGGGTGCGTAGGTAGCAGGGAGGCGAATGGCATGGGCAGGGTGAAGGCAGCCAGTCACAGGGCGAGCCTGTGTGGAAGCACCTCCTCCCCGGCCTCCTCAGTCTTCTTCTCTTCAAAGGAGGGAGAGGACTGTTTTCCGAGGCGTCCTCCCACTCTGGGGAGGGTGACAGGCTGTGAGAGCCACCCAGTGAGGGAGGATGGGCAGGGGCCTTGCGCACGTGGATTTGAGCAGGGCGGGGTGTAAATGGGATCGGGTTGACAATCTTAGCATCTTTGTGGGAGCTGGTTAGTCGTCAACCTTGGCTGCAGGTTAAGAGATATGGATGGCCGAAACCGGTTTGGCTCAGTGGATAGAGCGGGGTCCCAGGTTCGATTCCGGTCAGGGGCATGTACCTGGGTTGCGGGCACATCCCCAGTGGGGAGTGTGCAGGAGGCAGCTGGTCGATGTTTCTCTCTCATCGATGTTTCCGACTCTCTATCTCTCTCCTTTCCTCTCTGTAAAAACTCAATAAAATATATTAAAAAAAAAAGAGAGAGATGGATGCCTGAGCCCCACCCCTGTTGGTTATTTGATGGGTCGGGGTGGGGCTTGGGCTGAAGTATTTTTTACCAAAACTGTCTCTGGCAATTTTTTAAAAAATATATTTTTATTGATTTGAGAGAGGGAGAGACAGATAGAAACATCAATGATGAGAGAAAATCATTGATCGGCTGCCTCCTGCACGCCCCCTACTAGGGGACCGAGCCCACAACTTAGGCATGTGCCCAGGACTGGAATTGAACCTGGGACCCTCCAGTCCACAGGCCGATGCTCTATCCACTGAACCACACTGTCCAGGGAGGCAATTCTAATTGTGGTTGGTGTGAGGTCTCTAAGGTCCGTGATAGCTCTGTGGTTGGTGTGGTTGGTGTGAGGCAACTTCCGAGGCCCTACCCCTTTGTTTTTAAGATGAAGAAACCAGACCTAGAGGGCATAGTTGTATGAGAAAAACAAACCCCAACTGGTTTCAGTTGGCAGTGGTAGGTTCCACCCCAAGATGGCGCTCCAGGCTCGCTGTGGGTTTCCAATTGGGAGGAAATTCATGGATCTTAGAACAAACAGACCAGGGCGTGTGCCCCGAGTCACAGGCTGTTCCTGGCATATCTTGAGCATGAAAACGTGTTCCTGTGGGGCAGTGACATGCTATTTTGGGGGTTGGGTGGCCACATGGGAGGAGCGGGGTCATAATATGGGGGCAATGCTAGGCTGCTGGTGGGCATGCCCGAGCTCGGACTAGAGTTAGGGTGATCGTCAGCCTCTCCCACTGTGCACAGGTGTTTGTCAGCAAAGATGTGGCCAAACACTTGGGGTTCCAGTCAGCGGTGGAGGCCCTGAGGGGCTTGTACAGCCGTGTGAGGAAAGGGTGAGCTGGGGGAGCCAGGGAGGGTGGGTGTGGGAAGTGGGTGAGCCTGGACCCGGGGTCTGCCCCGGGGAGAGGGACTGAGGCTGAGGGTCTGGCAGGGCCACGCTGGTCTGTGCCTGGGCAGAGAAGGGCGCCGACGCACTGGGCCCTGACGGACAGCTGCTCCACTCGGATGCCTTCCCGCCGCCCCGCGTGGTGGATACTCTGGGGGCCGGCGACACCTTCAACGCCTCTGTCATCTTCAGCCTGTCTCAAGGTGAGTCCCTCAGGGCAGGCACCAGGCTGGGCCGGGCCCTGCCCCCACGGCCTGGCTGATCCAGTGGCTTGTCCCTCCCTCCAGGAAAGAGCATGCAGGAGGCGCTGCGGTTTGGCTGCCAGGTGGCCGGCAAGAAGTGTGGCCTGCAGGGCTACGATGGCATCGTGTGATGCCCTGAGGCAGCAGACAGCAGCTCAGACCCCCTTGGGGGCCAGTGGCAACGGCTGCTGCCTTCTCCCCTCCGTCCAGCCTGGCATCGGGGTGGCCCTGCTCCTGGGCAGACGCTGGCCGTGGGAGGGCTCCACCTGCACCTGGGTCCTGGCATCTCACACCGCGGAGCCACAGTGCAAATAAATCTCCTTCCCCGTGCCCGCTTCCTCCTGGCAGTCTGTCTGTCCTTGCCCTCCAAGCTCCTCTGGCTGGGGCTTCCCCCATCCTCCCAGTCCACCTCCCCACCCAGGCCCGGAGGAGGGGCTGCTGGGCCAGAGCAGCAGGCGATTCCAGGCTTGCTGCCAGCTGTGCCCGTGCTGGAGGCCGGGCTCAGGGATCCGTCGTCTCAGGGAGCCTTCCTGGCTGCGGAGGACACCCTGCTGCCTGCCGTTGGCTCAGGGGACCTTCCAAATAACCACAAACCACGAGGAAAGCTGCTCTGGACCCTGTGCTGTCACCGGGCTCCGGTTCCATCCGTGGCCCCAGGAGTGGCTCAGCTGAGCGGACTCGCTGGTGGTTTGGTGGGGACTTTGCCTCCAAGAATAGCTTCCCAGTGACCGCCCTGCAGCCTGAAAGCCCCACCCACAGAGCCACCCTGCGGTTAAGGCGGTGCCTCAGCCACAGATGGGACTGTGCCCGGGGGAGACCAGGGCGGAGGGCACGGGTGTGTGAGGCCGGGCGGGCCTGAGTGCTGGGTCACCTTGGGTGCATCACTGAACTCGATCTTCCTCAAGGTCCTTATCGAGCGGAGCTTAATCCGTGGTCATGGAATTGTCGTGAGGATAAAATCACACAATATGAAACGCCCAGTGTAATGCTGGTGTGTACGAGGCTCTTGATAAATCGAAGTTACTGTTAATATTAAGGGGGGGTGGGTACAGGGTGATGGGGCACATCTGCCCTGAGCTGCAGGCAGGCACTGGGTGTCGAACACCAGGTGAGGGGGCACAGGAGTGTTTGGACCCCAGGGGGACAGGGAGAGGCTGAGCGCTCGCACCCGCTGGGAACACGGGGAAAGCTGAGTCCCTGCCCCTCCAAGAGGCCTGTCCAGTCCTCATTCCCCCCACCGTCTCCCTGAGGTCTGGCCGGGCTGGACCGGTAGACAGATGGCCCAGGGGATGAGTTTATTCAGGTCTTTATTGGTTGTCCAGGCCCTAAAGCTGTCCCTCAGCACAGGGTCTCCATGGGCCACACAGAAAGGGCCGCACCTACTGGACCAGGAGGGGCCAGAGGTGGTCCTTGTCCCAATACACACCCCCCGCCCTTCGGAGCACATGTTGGCACTGAGACTTCCCCGCACACACCTGCATCCTCGAGGCTTATATCTCGTCGTTCTCCAGTTGAATAGCATGAACCTCAAACTCACTTGGGGGGTTCTTAGACTCCAGTGTTTCCCCTGGCTGCTCCTCCGCTTCCTTTCCAGCGTCCCTGGCCTCGGCCTGGGCCCCGGCCTCCGCTCCGGGGTCTGGGGCCGTTTCCCCAGCCTCCTGTCCAGGCTCCAAGGGCTCCTTTCCGGCCTCCACCTGCCCCTCCTCTCCTCTGGGGCCCAGGGCTTCCTGTGCTGCTTGTCCTGGTGGGCTCTCGGCTGACGGGGGCTGCCTCCCCAGATCTTGTGGCTCCGGGGGCTCTGGGTGCTCCGAGGGCCTCGGGGCCTCGCCGGGAAAGTTGACGAGCTCTGCCGGGGTCATGAGCCCGTCCCCGTTCAGGTCCTGCGTCTCCAGCACCTCGTCCACGACCAGGACCACCTGGGGGAGCACACAGCTGCCCTGGGGTCCGCAGTGACCGGCGATGCTTCCCAGAGCCCTGACCCTCCCAACGCCCCTCCCCGCTCCCTGACATGCAGGCTTTGAGCATTCCTGGGGATTCGCCAAAAGAGTCCAGATGAAAAAGACCGAGGCCCCAGGGAGCTGGGTCTCCTTTAAGGAAAAGGGTTCCCCCCGATCGCCACCCCCACCCCCAAGCAGGGCTTACTGGGTTGGTGGTGGGAGAGTCAGCGGCTCCGGGGGCCAGAGCTGCTGTCAACATGGACATCAGCTCCAGGCCGTCCAGCTGTCCACTCTGGTCATAGTCATGGAGGGCAAAGAGGTAGAGCAGGACTAAGGGAAAGAAGCTGGGTCAGAATACACGGCAGAGGACAGGAGGAAGCAGGAGGCCACGGACGGCTCGAGGCCAGTCCCCTCTCTGGCTGCCCTGAGCCTCCCGTCCACCGGCCCCCGGCCCAGCCCCTCACCCTGCTCCCGGCTCATGTGCTCCGGCTCCTCTTCCATCCTCTCTAGTCCCTTTAGGTAGCTCCGCAGAAGTCTGCCGGGAAAGTGAACAGTCAGCCCTGGAGGCCAGCCTGCCCCCAACGCCTCACTGCGGGCCCCCAGCCCAGCGACTCACCGGAGCTGCTCCTGGCCTGGCTGGAAGGGGTTGGGTAGGGGCTGCTGCTGCACTTCAGGGACCGGCCTGGAGGGCGGAGGGAGGACCAGCCTTGCAAAGAGCCTCCCTGAGGGCCCAGCCTCCCAGCCCCAAGCAGAGTTTTCGCCCCAGACCCCGAGGGAGTTGCTTTCCCCAACTCCCCAAAACCTTGTGGGGGGAGGCCCTTCGGGCTCCTCAAGCAGAGCCTTACTCTCAGAGTCTGTGTCTGCAGATTCCTACCTTAGATGGAAAGTGGAAACCCCATAAAACACCTGGCCAGGGAGAGCCAGGTGAGGCCACGCCTCGCCCAGACAAGTTGGAGGCCCAAGAAAAGAGCGCAGTCGGGTAGGGCAGTGTAGACCGGGCAGTGATTCTATTTTGATGCTGGGCCGACGGGCAGGTCTCTGGCTGAGCGCAGAGGCACTGCCCACCTTGATACAGGCCCTGTTTACACCAGGACAACTGGCCCCTTTATTTTCCCAAGCTGTGCCACCGATGCTGGTTTTGGAGTGTAAATCTGCTTGGGGTCTCCGCCAGTCTTTTTTGTTTGTTTGTGTCAGTCTTTAAAGCTCAAGATTTGCTCTCAGGTTTGGACGAGGCTATCTGGCTGCCCGAGCCGATCCCGACCTGTGACGCCAGAGAGCTGACAGAAGCCGCGGCAGCAACTCCGGTCACTGCTGCCGGCCCTGCCGCTCCTGGTCTGTCCCCCGCCCCACCAGCACCCACTCTGCACCCCCTCTGCATAGGTACAAGAAAGGTGCTCAGAGAGGTGCGATGACCTGCCGACCCCCTAGGATGAGAGGATTACACCCCTTCCCTGGCCCCCAGCTTCTTCCCCGAGCTTCACGCCTCATTGGAACTGAGCTCCTGGCTCCAATGAGTCCAGCAAACACAGATCACGTGCCCACTCTGTGTAGGGCACGCCACCAGGCTCAAGGCAGAGAGGTTGAGTGGGTGGGCAGGGATACAGAGGTGAGCAGCGCAGGTCCCCGTCTCCTGCCTCCCGGGGGCCCACCACACCCTCGGGTTCTCCAGAGACTCTCCTTGCTGCCAGCCCACGGCCCAGAGCCCGCCTGATCCCATTACCTCGCGGTTCCATCCCTGGGGGCAGCCTGACTCAGGGGCAGCAGCAGCAGCAGCACGAACATCATCGTCCAAGGTAACATCTCTCCTGGAGCTGGAACAGGGAACACCTTCCCTAGGAGCAGAGGGAGGGAGTCAGGGGAAGGGGTGTCTGCACAGAGTGGGGATCGGTGGGGTCCACCGGAACCTCTCCTCTCCCTGCAGCCCAGGTGACAGGACACAGGGACATCAGGGACACACACCCCTGCTCCCCCCACCCCCCACCCCGTGGAACTTTGCTCAAAGTAAATTTTACTCCAGATCCAGGTGTAAAGTGCAGGAAGACCCGCCCTGGAAGGGGCGCGGTGGCAGGAGCCCCTTCCGCACCTGGTCCTCTTGCCCTGCAGCGTGAGGGGCTGGGAGGAGGCAGTTCAAGTACATCTGGTTCAGTTCACTCGCTTTACAGATGAAACCAGCTCAGAGAGCTTAAGAAAAGGGCCAAATTGGAAACGCAGAGAGAGACAAAAAGACCAAGACTTAGAGAGGCAGGTTGTTGGGTTGTATTTATTAAAACCTCACCGAAGAACAAATCAAAAGAGGCGCAGACTCCTTGAAACAGGTCTAAACTCAGGTAGGGACTGAAAACACAACAAACCAACAGTGGCCCCAGGAACTGGTACTTACAAAGTGCAAGTAGGAAATCAGATCCCAATATGAAGGGGAAAAAAAACACAACTTCCCCTTAGACCTACACTGTGCAGGCCCATTGGCAACAAAGCCACTTGATTACAGAAAAACAGTCAGAGAGAGAGAGGAGCACGAAGCTTTCTGACTGTCCCGGGTGTGGGTACATAGCTGAGAGTTCCGAGGAAGCAGAAGCACCGCAAAGCCGAGACCCGAGACCCTGTGCCCGTCTCTAGGTGGCGAATCGCCGGTCCAGGCAGGGGATGAGGAACCCTCTGAAGCGGTGCCCTGCACACTGGCTGGCACTGAATTTTTCTGGAAAAAGGTTCACAGCATTTAGTGCAGTGGTTCTCAACCTTCTGGCCCTTTAAATACAGCTCCTCGTGTTGTGACCCAACCATAAAATTATTTTCGTTGCTACTTCGTAACTTAATGTTGCTACTAGTTATGAATCGTAATGTAAATATCTGATATGCAGGATGTATTTTCCGATGGTCGCGACCCACAGGTTGAGAACCGCTGTCACTAGTATTTACATGTATGACATAAATTCCTGCTACATTTTAGGAAGGGTAAATGTACATGTCCTGAGCGATACTAGATCAATGAATAATTTTAGTCATCAATGATTTTGCCTCAGGTGTATAGACACACTAAATAAATGCATCCACTTCTGTCACCCTGAAAGAGAAGTCCACGTACAAAATGCCATTGTTCACAAAGGATAATGTTAGG